GCTACCTTATCTTATCATTTCTCGAAACAATGAAAGAATGAAACAATGACAGTAAAATACTTAATTCTAAAAACACTTCTAATTAGAATAATAACAATAATGTTTCAACTGAAGAGCAACAATACGATGGAGCAAAACTAGCCATAAAATGATAATAGTGAAAACATTTCATCTTAAAGCAGCAATAATCAAATGAAGTATGACGGAATATAATTGTAATGCTTCCTCTCAAATGCAACAACATTGCGATTGAGTAAAACTAGTAATCAAATAATAACAATGAAAATGTTTCATCTACAAAGCTATAATAATATTGTTCTAAAAGATACCAAAAAATTTCCTTAAATTGTTTATCGAAGTAAAAATGGAATCGTTCTTGTCTGGTGGATCACACAATTTAGCTGAAAGATGATTGAAACCAGGAAAATGATTTTATATTTAAATAATAATGTTATAAATTTGTATAAATTAAAGAGAGACACGGATTCGATTTGTGCTTTGGTCCACGTAACACACACACATACATACACACACACACATACACACACACACACACATATATATATATATATATATATATATATAAGTGAACATTGAAGTCAACATCGGAGGAGGTGACAAACTTTTTCATGCTAAATGCAATCATCAGGCCACATGCGTTCTGTTTTCTCTTGACTATTTTATACATAGGTCTGTGGTGCATTGTGGGTAGTCTATTGTATTGGGGGTAGTCTGATCTAACGGTTATTTTGTCGGGAGTGGTTTGTTAATTTGTTTATTATTTACTTTATTTATTTGGATTGGTTTATTTTACTAGTTTTTGCTTATTTATTTCATTTATTCTTTTCATTTTTCGCTTTTTAAGTAAGGCAGCAAAAATTTGTTTTCGTGTCTGCATTTTGAGATGAGTTCTGATCGTTTATTGAGTAGTTTTTTTTTGGTCAGGGATGTAATTATAGCTGTAAGAGTGGTTTTTTTCTTTCCAGAGTCCTTCAGTTACTCCTATGTATATTTTTCTACTATGAACTAGGATCCCCTGCACACAATAAATTGCTCAAGAACAACATAACTAAAACACACAAAAAACATCTATATATATATATATATATATATATATATATATATATATATATATATATATATATATATATATATATATATATATATATATATATATATATATATATATATATATATATATATATATATATATATATATATATATATATATGTATATGAGTAATAGATAGCGGCTTGGGGAATCAGAGAGCTGAGTTTTTCCAATCAAATCCACCATTCATTTACATGCTAATACCCTTGGGAAAGGTATGAATCCTCTTCTTCTCCCTCCAGCTATGGGTAAATAGCAGGATAGACTTGGTGCTATAGCCTTGGATGACAACCGGTCTAGGAGAAGGACAACTCTGAATTTAAAACCTGCGGAGGGTCGTTTGGGGACCTTGTGGCACGTAGTGCACCAGGTCTCTGTATTCGGCCCTTCAAAAAGTGTGGGTGGTTCTGCACAAAGCCTTCACTACTATAATCAAATCGCATGTGCTGGTGTCTGACTGTCGTTTCCTTGGAACTGAGCTGCTTGAACCTCATACGCCGAATACAACGGGTGAATCGAATATATTATATATATATATATATGTGTGTGTGTGTGTGTGTGTGTGTGTGTGTGTGTGTGTGTGTGTGTGTGTGTGTGTGTGTGTGTGTGTGTTTATATGATGGACTCTCCTGTCGATTTCGACGTATAGGGATCCGAATATATATATATATATATATATATATATATATATATATATATATATATATATATATATATATATATATACGATTGCTAAATTGTCGCCTAAATTACTCAAAAATGAAAATAACACTAACATTTCATTTTTAACTGATAGATATATCTACTAATTCAACTGATAGATATATCTACCTAATTTACACAAAAATATGAAATACTAAAGAGTAGACTTATTCAATAAAATCGCCATTGGCTCCAGACAACTTCAGAATCACCTGTAACTCTCCTTGTTTAAGTTGGTGAATGCTGCCATAATCCTTGTGTTCAGTTCATATTTAGTGTTACAAGGAGTTTTGTTGGTCTCTCACGCAACTGCGCCCCACACATCATAATCAAGGGGCTTGCAGTCTGAAGAGTAAATTGTCCAGATGCAAGCGGTAATGTGGTCGCAACCATGACTATTTGTGTTGCATGGCAGTGTCCTGTTGCTAAATATAAGTCTTCCAGCAACCACGCTCTTGGCCCAGGGTAACACTACACCTTCAAGGAACTTGATGTAGGCCTTTGTGTTGAGTTTGAGGCCCTGTGGGAAGATGAATGGAGGTATAACGTTGCCATCACTATTGACCACTCCAAACATCTTCGTAATCACAATTAGACACATTTAACTCTTTCCAAATCCTCTGCACTGTCCTCAGTTTGACACCCAAACACTCTGAAATATTCGTATTGGAGCTCCCAGTGCGAATGCCAAGCAGCACAGTATGCCGTTTCCAAATTTGTGGTAGAGTGAATTGCGTCATGGTGCTCTTTTTCTTACAGACGGTGTCCAACTCACTAGACTATGGTGTCCAGTCGACAGAAACAAAAAAGAAACAAGCATGCCAATATATATATATATATATATATATATATATATATATATATATATATATATATATATATATATTATAATAATAAAAAGAAAGAAACAGTAAGATATATAATCCGGTCTTTTTATTGATATTTTTTTTTTTACAAAACAGTGATCAATATAAATTTGCAGAACATAAATATTATAAATTAAATGATTTGAAATATGGCTTCTTCGCTACACAGTAATAACCATGTTTCAAAAACCGAAGCTAAAAACTTCAAATTTAATTATATAATTAAATTTTACAGTAATGGAATTGGCTTGTTAATAGATAATCAAATTTAATTATATAATTAAATTTTTATTTAATATAATTAAAGTAAAAGCATTAGTTCTGTTTCATCAGCAATTTTGGAATAACTTATTTTTAAATTTACTGAGTTTTAAACGCACATATAAATTCATAATTTCCGGTTTCCAAGGATACAGAAAAATCCAATCATTTATACAGGGGCGGTAGCGTGTTCATTTTTATTAACTATTGTTGTATCATTTATGAGTTACGTACGAAAAAGAGATTCATTTTAGTGTGGGTGGGATGCATTTTTCAACGAATTCTGACATCCGTTAAACGCGTGTCGTCTGGTTTTTTTTTTATTATTAACGACAAAAAGTTTTTCTGCATTTTTTTTCGTTAAATTCGTACTTGTATACTTAAAGATTCTTTCTAAAAGGGCTGTTTGTGTTAGAATACGTTATATTTAACTACAATTTTAAAATATTGTTTTTACTTTTGATTACTAATAGACTATATTTCTTTTTAAATCAAATAAATGTTACAGAATTCTCTAAATTATTTTAAAATTATTTTTTCATATCAAATATAAGTATGTATATTACCAGCTCCCATTTTTTTATTTTTTTTTTTTTTTAAATAGAAAATTTTTGACAATGTCCAAAATTTTTTCATTTCTTTGATTCAGTAAATTTTTTTTTATAAACTTAGTAATATATAGTTTCTCAAAAAATGGTCATTTAATGACCTAAATTCTAGCTTGGCTTATTAAATGGACTTTACCAAGCCACTGTCTATGACGCTTAACAACGATAAAAGATTCATTTTCGTCGACAGTCACAAGTCTATCCAAAAAAGGTGAAACAAGTTGGAAAAAATGGGAGAAGAGCAGACGTCAAAGGTTTGAGGTTGTCTTCATACAATTCATGAGGCACCCATTTTCCAAGTTTAGGATCTTTTCCAAGTTGTTGAAGATGACGATGAACAGTTGTATGTTTTTTGAACTGAGAACCACTGCCAATTCCTCAACTGATAAAGCAGGATTTTCTTCAAGGGCTGCTTCAAGAAGCTTTTCATCAAACTCATCTGGACGTCGGTTCGATCTTCATCTTCAAGGGTGAAATCTCCACCTCTGAATTTTGCAAAACCATCTTCTGTAAGTTCTTTCATTCACACATTCTTCTCCATAAACTGAGTGAATGTTTCTAGCCGCTTCGGCTGCTGAGTTTCCTTTCTTGAACTCATAAAGCATTATGTGCCTCAAATGATTCTTGGGTACTTCCATGGTAGCAGGATTTTAATCAAACAAAATTTAATTTTATTGTTCTCTGAAATAAAATCTGATCAGTTTAAATGCATCTAAACATAAAAAATAATGTTCAGCTCCATTAGACATTATAAAATACTCTTTAAATTTCGTTCATTTTAACAAAAAGCTATATATATAGCTAAATAGAAAGTTCGATAACATATGCTTAAGCTAACATCAATAATCTAAGTGATAAACTTTTACTTATCTGAATTCTCTCTCTCTCTCTATATATATATATATATATATATATATATACACACACACATACATATATATATATATATATATATATATATAGTCGACTCTCCCATCGAGATTCGACGTATGAGGGTCAAGCAGATCAGTTTCCAGGAAACCGACAGCTCGACACCGGCACATGAGATTTGATTATAGTGGTGAAGGCTTTGTGCAGGACCATCCACACTTTTTGAAAGGACGAATACAGAGACCTGGGGCACTACGTGCCACAAGGTTCCCAAACGACCCTCCGCAGGTTTTGAATTCAGAGTTGTCCTTCTCCTAGACCAGTTGCCATCCAAGGCTATAGAACCCAGTCTATCCTGCTATTTTACCCATAGCTGGAGGGAGAGGAAGAGGATTCATACCTTTCCCAAGGGTATTAGCACGTATATATATAAAAAGATCGTATATATATATATATATATATATATATATATATATATATGTGTGTGTGTGTGTGTGTGTGTGAGGTGGGTTATGTCAGAGATGCTTCAATAATTGGAAGAATTCATCAATTTTGTTCTAAACATTGTCCCTCATTTTTCAGAAATGGGCCGTATGTGGAATAAAGGCAACATGGCTACACTTCCTCTCTATCCGCCATGGAGAACATCTCGGCTCGATCCACCGCCCCACGTATTGCCAGAAGGTGAGACAATGTTTTTTTTTTAAATAATTTTTATTTTTTCTGAGTTTGTTTTTTATTTCTTTATTTTACTCTTTAATAGTAATATATTTTTTTTCCATTTTCTTTTCTCCGGGTAACATCAAGTACTATTGATTCATCTTGTAAAAAGTGATTTGTATAGTAACCAGTTATTACTGAAAAAAAAATGACGTTTCTGACATGTTTCTACGAAATAAAATCTGTGTAGTTTATGTTTAACTGGTTTAATTTAATGTTTCTCAGATGCCCTTTGTTCACTGATATAGAAGATTGTTAACAACACAGGCTGATATTTTCTCAGATTTTTTTCTCTCTTTGAATTTTGTAAAAAGTTTTATAATAGACACTGGAACCAGAAATAATCATTTTTTTTTTCCCATTTTTCTTTTCATATAACTCGATTTAGCACTCTAACTAACGGAAATAAAATAAAGATTTATTAAATTTTGTCAATGTTAATAGGATGTTCAATTTCCTATGTATATTCATTGTAAATTGGTCCCTCTATGAAAGCCAAAACAAATATCTTAAAATGCTGAATGTGTGTGTGATATAACGGATTGCGGTCCGGAATGAAGAATCGGAAAACCGAGTTCGTATCATTTTATTTAGGCGCAAATACCGTCGAGAAAGATACGAATAATCTCATCCTCGCATATATGGGTTAAACAGTATCTGAAAAAATTGTTAATACAATAGTTACTCATAAAAAATGTTTTTATTATCCAAAATATATTTTTGACTTTAAATAACGCCAGAAAGGGTTAATAAACCATAAAAATATACGAATTAATCTTTAAATGTAAAAAAATAAAATTCACAATCTGGAGTGCTTAATCGATGTTAATATATGGAAAACGAACCTCCGAAATCTTTGAATATCCTACATATTCCAAGTACCTTTTTATTAAGCTGTTTTTTTTTTTTCTTTCGCTTCCCAGAGTTGTGTATCTATCCCACTATGTTTGCTGGCGTTGTGCATTATGGCGTGTTCTGTCGAAAAGAAGTGATTCCGACGGGAACCAGATACGGACCCTTTAAAGGCAAAATCGTCAACACGAGTGAGATAAAAACATTTGACGACAACACACACATGTGGGAGGTATGTCTTTATCACCTATTTGTTATCCTGACAGATGTCATGAGTGAGCACAATCGATGTGAGGCGAGTGGCTCTCAAATCTTCTCACACCTCTAAATGTTTGCTCAGTATTTTTGCTGTATTTAACAGTACCTTAGATCAGAGTTGGGCAAATTACGGCCCGCAGGCCACATCCGGCCCGTAGGCCACATCCGGCCCGTTAAGGCTTTTAATATGACCCTCTATTAATTTTATATTTATAAATTTAATAAAAAAACCTACCGGGTATTTAAAAATTATATAAAAACCTCTCGGGAGAAACATTTGTAATAATTCCGCTTTGATTCAAATTTTAGTTTAAGTATCATTTTGCAGGATATATGTAAACGAGATTTAGTGAGAGTCGCCATTTTGCGGTGTTTTTAAAATATGATTCTATTTTTGAATAAGTTAGATTCTAAAACAATCAAAAAGCAGTCACCCATAATGAGTTCTAAAAGACGAAAAGTTTGAATGCCGTTATTTTTAAGACGGTATGGACTGAAAACTATTTCTTCATAGAAAATGTTACAAAAGCTGTGTGCCTGATTTGCCACGATACTTGTGCAGTAATTCAAGGAATATAATTTGAAAAGTCATTTTCAGTTGAAATATGGCAACTTCGGCTAAAACTTTTCCACCTAAAACTGCAAAACAAAGCAGTGGACATGGTTAAAAAATCCGAAACACCAACAAGTCATACTTTTTAAATATACATCTAAACAAGTACTTGGAATAAAGGCAAAGTTTTATATTTTGGCAAATAAGATCATAAAATATAAGAAACCATTTTCTGATAGAGAATTTATGAAAGAATGATTGATGCAATTGATATTTTGTGTCCAGAAGTCAAAAGTAGAAGCAATTTCATTATCTCGGAGAACTATTGTTTGTAGAATAGATGACAATGCTGAAAATTTGCATGGAAAACTTTTGGATATTGCAGATAAATTCAAGTGATTCTCAATTGCTTTAGATGAGAGTACAGACATAATAGATACTGCACAGTTGCTGATTTTAATTTTAACCTGTATTAAGTTTAAAATATTATAAAATTATTTAAAGAAAAAACTGAGTAAAATATACATATATTTTATTATTTATTTTATATTTTAATCGAAAAGCCCAAATTTTACAGCAAATGCTAATCTAAGGAGATTCAAATAGTGTAACAACATTTGAAGAGATCTGAAACCAGATGATGTAGGCAGTTTTTCAAATGACAATACATACACAATTATATAGTATACAATCACGTAGACATATTTAGACATATAAACACATAAAAGCACGGACTGTTTCGTCCGTGTTTTTGCGTGTTTAAAATTTTAAATTGGTCATTCTAATTTTATAGTAAAATTTAAAATTAATCAGTTAGAATGATTTCTATTTTAGTCTAACGATAACATTAATAATTATAACATAGATTCGTTATCAAGTTTTTTGAATTATTATATACTTTTATTTTGATTGGTTATTGTAGTTGATGTAACAGCGTTTCCCCTAGCGAAGTGTGTTTGGTGGATTTGAACCTTTTAAAACTCATTATTCTACATTCAACACCATCACTTGAGAAGACACCAGAAGTGTTAAAGCAAAATGGCTATTTTTGTCGTGATGTTATAACAAATTTATGTTATATTTTTTGAATAAATACTATTTGCTCTACTCTGTATTGAGCACTCTTTTAAGAATAGTGTTTCTGGTTATTGGAATTTTATTCCGTTTACACCAATCCTATATATATATATATATATATATATATATATATATGTGTGTGTGTGTGTGTGTGTGTGTGTGTGTGTGTGTGTGTGTGTGTGTGTGTGTGAATAATGGACATTGATTTCAACACTCAGCGGTGACAGTTTGTTTCATGCTTAAACGCAATATTTAGTCCATGTGTTGTGTCTGGCTCGACTTTTTATATATGCTCGTTAATGGTATATTATTGTAGAAAGTCTATTGTATATTCATAACGGTTATTGGGTGGCCAGCAACGGTTATGTTTCAAATTATTCTAGATACTATTCGGTAGAACTCATTGTGGATTCGAATGTAGTTATTTGTAGCTATTTTAAAGAGTTATTAACTTTTCTTTATTCATTATTTATTAACGGTTACTTTATTATTTGTTGTTGGTTATTATTTACTTGTGTTTATTTCGTAGATTTTGATGATCTGGGAAATAATTATAGCTATTTTCTTCTCCAGACAGAGTTTAAAAATTTGGATTTATTGTTGTAAGCTGATGTTATTTTCTTTATATTTTTGATATTTTTAGCATGATTTGTTTTTGTTCTTTTTTTTTGGGGGGGGGGTAATTTCCCACATATGTTTAGAAAGGATTGTGCTGTTCCTATATTTACAATTTGTAAAGGACGTTTCGTGTGCGTAGTTTCTCAGTTTCCCGGTTATATAAGCAGAATACTGACCTTTGCTGCGTATGGGACTGCCTAGCTGTAAGCTAGTCTGTGTACACGTGCTGATCAATGCCTGTCTCTGGTGACAAGTAGAGTATAAACTTGCAGGTGGTGCCCAGACAGAAATGCCTTAAGGTCGATTAACTGTCCGCTCAGACGGTCTCCGATTGAGAGTGTCCCCGAGTATCTTGATGTGACGCCCAAGTCGCCTTAGTAGCTTCATACTTCAAACTTAAGAACAAATCAGACCTCTCGACACCTAGCCATAATACTCCTCCGGCTCATGTACAGAGATGCACAGTGCGCCATCCCCTAGACTAGGTAGAACAGTGGTACTGAACGTCATATTTACTACAGACCATCTTAATTCACGAAGATAAAACATGTATATGTTAACACCGCCAGCCACTTAAAATCGGAAGCCATAAAAACCAGACCGGGTGTAGCATTAGGGCATTATTATTATTATTAATAATAATAATAATATTTTTCATCTTCATAGTTTTTTCGTTTTCAACCTGATACCTTGCATTATAGGTGTAGTTTATCAAGTCGAATGGCCTCAAACAGAGAGCGCCTTTCGCAGAACATGTGTAGCGCCAAGCAACGCAAACTTCTGGGGGATAGCTTACTAGGCATTGATCCGATTTTCTCAATCAAATTCGGTTGCCATCCAAGGCTATAGAACCCGGTCTGCGCTGCTATTTACCCATAGCTGGGAGAGAGCAAGAGGATTCATGCCTTTCCTAACGGTACGTAATAGATTCGACTAGAATTCGAATTCGGCATATATACAGCGAATCAGCCAGTTATGTGCCATGCGTGATACACGCTGAGACGATCATGCATCTTTCGATACATAACTGAAGAGGCAGATTTTTTTTCCCCGCAGTAGATTGCCATTTCTTTCTGCGGTAGACCAGTTTCCATCCAAGGCTATAGAACCCGGTCTGTCCTACTATTTACCCATAGCTGGGAGGAGGAGAAGAATAGGATTCAGACCTTTCCCAAGGGTATTAGCACGTAAGTGAATGTAATGGATTCGACTTGAATTCGATCTCTGCTTTATTCAACGATAAAAAAGGAATATAATAGCCTGAATAGCACGGATCCTGGCAACTTCAATCTGGAGATCGATGTATTTCTTAAGCTTGCCAATTACTTTAGCCTTGATAATATGGTTATCAAGAACAGTTACATCGAAGAGAAGTCATTTTTTAACAGCAGTGATATCTAATTTGCTAGCCTCAATGTTACTGTTTGTTTGAATGCTGAATCCCCACAAGATTTTGACTCGGTCGTTTTCGATTACCTTCTCTGGCTTGTGGCGATATTATTTCTCGCCGACTTCAAGGCTATACTTCCTACATAGGCAACAATGCAGGTGGGGGGCACTTTATAATGGCGGCTATTGTATTCTTTTTGCGCAAGCATTCCACGGACGCTAAAGATGTGAGTGAAATTTCCCCCCTCCGTATCACACAGCCTTCGCTTCTCCGAAACCACTTGGCGGTAAATGTTCTTCCGTCTAGAATTAGCATTCAGCTCTTGGTCTTCAGAATGGCTACCAGTAATAATAATAATAAGTATTATTATAAAATAAAGGAAATGGACGATACAATAATGTCTCAGTAACAAAGATGATAATGTGTCATCTCTCAATTGTAAAATACTTTTATTATTATTATTATTATATTTCCTTTGATTTCTGGTGTGTACACATTTCTTTCGGGGTCCCGCCTAGAGACCTAAGGTTAGAAATGGCATCATGACCAGCCAAATTGTTGATGTGGTTGATAGCACAACAGTTTGGCTGGTCCTTTCCCCTTTGTTTTCGACTATTAAAGCAGGTCCTCATACTTTGATTGGCTGATCGATCTTGATTTCAGAGGAATCTGAAGAAACGTTAATACCTTAATTTTGTTTTTATTTTCTAGGAAAGCATGCGGTTTGTGTTGATAACATTACTTTATATTATTACTAATCGATTGCACAGTTATCAGTATTCCACTGTTCCTTCTCTATCAGCTCAACATTTTAATTTAATTTAATTATTTTATTAATATTATGATAATATTCTCTTTTCTCAGATATTCAAGAATGGCCGTCTCAGTCACTTTGTCGACGGCCGCGGCGCCCTGGGAAGTTGGATGTCGTATGTAAATTGCGCCCGCCACAAATCGGAGCAGAATTTAGTCGTGGTACAACAAAATGACGAGATTTTCTACGAAGTCTCGCGAGATATTCATAACGGTTGTGAGTTGTTAGTGTGGTACGGCGAGACATATTTGCAATTCATGGGCATTCCGGTCACGTTACACGATGTCACCAGTTCTGAAGCCAGTTTGCCGAGCGAAGAAAACGAGAGTAAGCTTCTTTTGATTACAAAAAACTTTTGTTTATGCTTTTTTTTTTTTACAGTAAGAAAAACGGAAGAGGGCATGTGGATGGTTAGCTAAAATGGAAGTGGCATGGCGGGTCCTTGCCGTGAAAGTTAGAACTGACAGAACCAAGGAATGTAGTTCGTCTGAGCACTTTCCATGAAAGCAGCGATAGAGAAGCGAGAGGTTCGCTACATCTCACCTGTGAGAGGGAGAAAGAGAGGGGGTGAGGGAGGGTAGTTTGTTCAATTATACTATGTATAGTGGGGGGCTTCATTCGCCATAGCGTGTAGAAGAGGACAAAACTTGAATAGTTCAGTCGGTTTTTCCTTTGGTACGCAACAAAGCACCAAGGATTAAGTTTTGGGGCAATGGGAAGGTGCTGTTGGAAAAAAAAAAACTGAAATCACACACACACACACACACACACACACACATATATATATATATATATATATATATATATATATATATATATATTTATATATATATATATATATATATATATATATATATATATATATATATATATATATATATATACATAAAGAAATTCGGATTACCAACACACAGAGAATGTCTCATATCGAGAATATTTAACACTGAACATGAGGAAAAATTAATTATTTTTAATAATATGTGGAAATCTCCGCTTTTACCTGAAGACGGTCGCGAGACCAGAAACACGTGTCGTAAAATTATGTAAAACAAAGCATAATATTTATTTTTTTCTAAATAAATCCCCATTACAACCAAAAACGTTTGCGGCACCTCTCTTCTCTTCTTTTAATATACATACTTTTCTCTCGTTGGAACCACTACAACATATTTTTTTTATATATATATATATATATATATATATATATATATATATATATATATATATATATATATATATATATATATATATATATATATATATATATATATATATATATACTCTCTGATATAATGGGCGGGGTAGATGAGATGTATTCATACCATTTCAAAGTGTATTTGCGCGTATGTCAATATAATGAAAGCAATTGAAATTGGAACTCGACTCTCCGATTTTCAATTCTGAGTCGTCTTCCATTACACCACCCGCACATCCAAGCTTACAGCACCGGGTCACCTCTAGGATACTGATCAGGCTCGACGTTGTTTCATTTCGGTGATCGTGTTTCAATGTGATATGACCCCCAATCCGAAATATTTGGATATTTCATGATAATCAGACGAGTGTATTTATCTTTGTTGTTGCTACTTCTTTAATCAACTCTTCAGCCGATATATTCTAAGGCTTTCTTCAGTGGAATGTTACATCCAGTAGACGTACAAATCTATCTTCACTCCAATAGTACAGTTCATGAATTCAAAGTGCCACAGACACATGGATTTTGTAGATGAGCGGACGGAAGAGTGCAAAACCTCGTACAAGCAAATAGGACAAAATATATAACACGTACAATTTTAATCCAGTCACCCAATGACGTAAATCACCCATCATTTTTATTCAGGCTGAATGTCTATGCGTGCTGGAAGTCATTTCCGGCAATTTCCGACCATTTACGGATATTTCCGACCATTTTATCTTAAAACGAGGCTTTTTTTTTCTTTCTTCATCTCTTCCTTCTTATAATCGACGGCTTCAAGGAAAAAGAAAAAAAAAAAAAAAGATTACATAGTAAACTGACATATTCAAGCCTCTCACATACAAACAAACGAATTTTTTCTTCTTCGAAATGCGTTGTCGTTAAAACTGTCAGTATATTTCAGACTCGTAAACCATCAGCCAAATTTTAATTAACTGTAATTGTTTATGGCAACCATTCTTCGAAATAATTCAGTGAACTTAACTACACTTATAACATATTATATATTTTCTTCCTTTCTTTCCTCCTTCCTTTCTTTCTTTCTTCAACCCTAAGCCATTATTGGCGTTTTTATTTCTCTTCTGGAGAAAGTCGGGGCCATTGCAAGAGACAGCTTACACCTCCAAGGCCGCTATAACTTTCTTGCTCATAAAATTCCAGCGCGCATTTTATCGAATGTTGAAGCAAATAAACAGTTAAATCCATTCGTCAGCGTAAAAAAAAAATCTTAGGGAAGTTTTCAAGTTTATGGTGTAAGCTAAGGAAAAATAAACTGCATTTCGTATTGATAATTCTTCCATCCATGTTAGTTCTTTTTAACTACATGAGAGCGGCTGACAAGATAACAAGAGAGAAAGGGGGGAAATGGGAACGCCCATATAAACACATTGTTCTTATAATTCTGTGGGACGCTACGGTATTTGGTTCAAATTTTCGGTCTCCTTACCCCGGCAGGAAATTTTGCATGATTCAAGGCAATTCAGAGATGGAGTGAAGTTAGTGAAAACAATCTCAAAATCATTTCACCGATATGCGCTTTCTTGGCAGTATTTATCTCCTCTCCAAGTAACAGGCAACAGATTGTATTGGTTTACATGGTGCAAGCAATTAGGAGTACTCTCTGGCTTCATGTATTAAAGGTGTTAAAGAAAAACGAATAAAAACTCTATCAGCCAGAATTTGAACTCGACATACCGTTTTCATATCCAGCGTTGGGCTAAACCCCCCATTTCATTTAAAGTTTGTCATTTTAATGTGACTACTCGCTTTTATACAAGTAAATCAAAATTTTCGAAACATTCATGTGACCAGGTTGTGTAATGACTTCAGGCTTTCATTACATTTTTTACTCTAACGTGCAATTTAATTAATCGCCTATAACAACATGAATAACTATATATAGGCGATTAATAATAATAATAATAATAATAATAGTCAGTCAGTTATCTGCCATGCGTGATACACGCTTAGGCGATCATGTATCTTTCGATACATGACTGACGAGGCAGATTTTTTCCCGCAGTAGGTTGCCATTTCTTTCAGCGGTAGACCAGCTGCCATCTAAGGCTATCGAACTAGCTGGGGGAGAAGAAGAGGATTCATACCTTTCCCAAGGGTATTAGCACGTAAGTGAATGTAATGGATTCGACTGGAATTCGAATTCGGCATTTATACAAGGAATCAGTCAGTTATGTGCCATGAGTGATACACGCTTGGGCGATCATGTATCTTTTGATACATAACTGACGAGGCAGATTTTTTCCCCGCAGTATTTCCATTGCCATTTCTTTCTGCGGTAGACAAGTTGCCATCCAAGGCTATAAAACCCGGTCTGTCCTACTATTTATCCATAGCTGGGGAGAGGGGAGAAGAGGATTCATATCTTTTCCAAGGGTATTAGCGCGTAAGTGAATGTAATGGATTCGACTGAAATTTCTCAATGCGAGCCGCTATCCATTACTCCACCGTACCTCCTCAATAATAATAATAATAACAATAAAAATCTGCTTCATTTATTGTCAGCCTTGACAAGAGTCAGTATTGCACAACACGCAGTAAAAGTAAATGCTTCAAAAATCACATTGCGCAAAAGTCATGCTTTCTGGATTTTTTATGCCTCGACGTGTTTGCCAAAATGACCTTGAATTAACCCTAAAACGCCTTCATTATGCCCCGTGAGCGTTATATTTTCCAAGCCCCCTTTCCTTATTATGTGTCTCAGAAATTTCAACCGTCTTTTTCTAATCATTAGCACAAACCTCTTTTTCGTTTCCATTTCCCTTAAAACTTCGTGGTTGCTCACATGCATTCTCAGCATCCTTCTGTAGAACCATACCTCTCTCTCCCCAGTTCTTCTCGTCATCTGTTAAGGAATTGTCCAGCATTCACTGCCATATAAGAGAACTAATATTATATAGTAGTTCTGCACTCTTTTCTTTGTTTCTAACAAAATATTCCGGTTTCTTAATATTTGTTTAGCTTATGGAAGGCATCTTTCGCATTCGAATGCGCAGCGATTTCTGTCGCATTTTACATTTTCTGTTATAACATTTTCTAATTTTTTGTACCTGCTTCCTTTTCACGTTTCCAATTTGTAACTCGCATTTATGGCTGTCGCTGTAAAAAGCTACTACAAGAGTCAGTATTGTAAAACGCACACGAAAAAAATAAATTCTTGCGCCGTCCATGTTTTGTGGGATGGCTTAAGTCATGGCTGCTTCACTAGAATGGTTCTGCGACAACCCTAAAAGAAAATATCTAATCTAATGGTTGAAAATATACTTGCTCTAAAGCATTCACTTTTTTTTTCTGGTTTATTTTAATTTGGACATTCTCCTTCTTAATGGTTATTTAAACATTTTTTTAACACCCTGATGTTGTTCAGTTCACGGAACATGTTCTGTTTAATTTCTAATCTTAACATTTTAAAATAAGAATAATGTTATTGGAACGCATCGTGTCTAACAAAAAAAAATGTTATTGTATTCCATCCCCATTGCAAACCAAATTATATTTACCTTTTATCTACCTTTTTTTTAAAACCAATCCTGTGTTTAACTTTTTTAACTCTCGGGCAAATCAAATCATTCTCTACGTTTCTAATGTTTATTAAAACGAGAAAATTCGGCATTAAGTAACCTGTAAATGGTTGGTGTATCATTAGGCAAAAGAAATTCAACCAAATCAGACTACAATCCGCTTAATGACCGTCATAGTCATTAGGCCTTTGTATCTCGCCATCCTTTCATGTAGCTGTTGTTTTCGGTAAACTTCTGGTATTTTCTGTCTGAACGCACTATTCAGTCCACGAGAATACTACAGGACAAAGGCCTAGCTGATAGAAATGGAAAATGTATCTAGTTGTCTGATGGTCATGAGTCCAATTCCTGAATCGGTACCAAAAGTCATTTTATCCTTTCCAGTGAAAGAAACAAAATTTAGCAATACATAATAAACGAATTAAATAAAAAGTAATTGATACGAATTATCACTCCTTCCATTTCCCTTAAAACTTCGTGGTTGCTTACATGCATTCTCAGCATCCTTCTGTAGAACCATACTTCTCTCGCCCCAGTTCTTCTCTTCATCTGTTAAGGAATTGTCCAGCATTCACTGCCATATAAGAGAACTAATATTATATAGTAGTTCTGCACTCTTTTCTTTCTTTCTAACAAAATATTCCGGCTTCTTAATATTTGTTTAGTTTATGGAAGGCATCTTTCGTATGAAACCTGCGAATGATCAGCATAAAAAAAGCCCTTAGATTATATGAAGGTTAAAAATCCCAAGTACATGACCGAATGTGACAGGCACTTGTAAAAACCTGGAGATTTTCAACAGCCGAAAAGTTTTACAGTAGCAACCAAAATTAAGAATTGATCGGTGCATAATTTTGATAATTCCTTAACTCAGAAATGTTGACGGAAATTAGATAGTCGTCATTAAAATAAGAACCTGACTGCTCATGTTCACCACTGTAAAAACAAGTGTTTCTCACGTTTGTGTGGGTGTCTGTGTCTCGGCGTTTCCCTTGCAACGGCCGATCTCCTCGTTTGTTCAACGGTAAAGCAACAAGATAAACCTGAACTTCTATTCCTGCGGGTTATGCGTGAGCCGATTTTGAATTTCGACAGTCGAAACGAATTAGGAAGTACTTCAGACTCAGCAACCCAGTGGCGAAGAAATCCTCGCGTGCGTGTAGGCACAAAGGGGGGCGGTGGCAAACTTACTGCCGTTGTACAACATCAATTTCGTATGTGTTAGAGCCACATTAACACTTGCTGCTGGGGCAGGTCTTACAATAGCACTTTCATGCTTTGCATTCACAATCGAGATTTCGATCGACGTTTGTCAAATCAATGGGCCTTAATGTGCGAACAAGTCGACCCCTGTGGACTTAGAAACCTGCGAATGATCAGCCGTTTATTTCTTTCTTTTCACTTTTCCCCGTTGCCAGTCTAATCAGCGAATTTGGACTTTAGTTCACTGCGGCTTCATTCACCTTCTTCTAATGGCAATTCCGACAAAACAAATACGTTTAGTGCTTGAAAGAGGATGAAATACAGTTACCAATTGGAGTCCGCCTCGTGACTGAAACAGCTGCGTATTTCCAACTGACACTAGCAGACGAGCTTCGAACCCGGATTTCAAATCCTAGTAAACTACCTTTTGAAGATTGAAGCACAAATATTCTTGACACGTTCATATCTCGAGATTTGAATCTGTGTAGGACGAGGTTAAGCCTAACAAATATTTGTCCTAATTTCTGGTTATTATTATTCAAATTCAGACTAACATCCTCATCTTTGTTGTTAATTTCACCTGATCGCCTCCTGTCTGAATTTCTGGGATGAGAAGTTATCATTATTTACATTCATGCTAACATCCTCATCTTTGTTGTTACTACAACGTTTCAGCCGTTGCGCCTCCCCCACCCCGGTCATCTTAAGGTATCTCTCGATCCGGGTGACCTTCAAGGGGTTTAGAACTGAACGCTTTATTTAACACACGGAAAATCTATCCAGGTAGATTTAATAAAGTGTTCCGATTTGAGGTGTACCAGGATCTATAGACACCTGAAGAATGTTGGGGGGGGCACGATGTTGTAGTAATAACAATAAAGATGAGGACATTAGTCTGAAAATGTAAATAATTCAAATAGTACTGACTAATATCTGTTGACTGATTTTCAGGAAAGGTAATATTCATGATCAAGCAACGAAAAAAAAGAGGGAATATTATCTATATGAATGACCACAATTTTCGACATTTGGAGTGGAAGGCCAAGATCTCCCATAATCTATTTTTTCATGCTTCTAAGTTTTCATGTGTTGCGGCCATTTTCTACTGGCCAGATGCCACAAATATCCAGGAAGATTCTAAGCGTAGAGTCAAAGTGACTGACACGAATGTTAACTAGCATGCTATCATGCAAAAAAAAATCGATATTTACATTCGGGGTGGGAAAAATTTAAAGGATGGCACTCCAATTTAATAAACTCAACGTTGATTCTGATTCCCAGAACTGGGTTATTTTGAGGTTAACAAATACGAGTCCTTTTTAGCTGATCGTTTTGTGTTCAGTTCTTTTTCGTAACAGAAGAAAAAATTCAAAAAGTAAGGCATGTAGCAACATAAAAGTATAAAGGGCATAATAGCGAGGTATGAGTCGTACGATTTTGAATCTCAAAGTTGTCAGAACCCTAAATAATTCAAATAGTATTTATGCATCCTGTTTTATTATATCTGTTGACTGATTTTCGGGAAAGGTAATAAGCCAATTTGATCAAGCAACAAAAAAAAAAAAATATGAAAGTGCGACTGGCGATGAATACCTCGATGCGGAAATAATTTCAACCAAAGTGATCATCGATGAATGATTTACATTCAGGTAATCCGTTTCATCAGTCACAACAGCTATTTATGTGACAGGCCATGTTGTGCGCAGCCATAATGTGTTCATCGCTAGTGAAAATATATGGCAGTGACGAGGCGGAAAGGAATGTTTTTGCAGCTGAACAGAGGCTGTACTATTTAGTGGTATATAAATCGGAGGTATGCCTTTTAGTTTTAAAATCAGGGGTCAATATTAGGCGCGTGAAGATCGCCTTATCATGACAAGCCATATTATCGTCTTAGCGATATATGCGATGAGCCATATTATCACCAAATATCGTCATAAAATATCGTCCTTTCTTCCTGAAACCATGAAGTGAAGGACGTCTTTTAATAATGCCGTTCTGCTATGTATCTTGGGATTCTAGACAAAATCCAAAGAAGAATCGGCAACATTATTGGTCCTGGCCTGGCATATCAGTTCCAATCACAACAAATACTTTTTCACACCCAACCCAGTTCTGCGGAATCAGAATCAAGCGAATGAGCCAAATGGAGTAAAGTGCCATGCAGATTTAAAATTTTTTCCACTTGTGACGAATGCAGCTATCGATTTTTTTTTTTTTTTGCATGTTAGCATGCTAGTTAACATTCGTGTCAGTCAGCTGTTGGCTCTCACGCTGGCCAATAGAATCTTCCAATCTCCGTAATGTAGTTTCCCTGTAACCTTTCTATAAATATTTTCATGGCTATAAAAGTTTTCGCCTTTAAATCGCCTAAAAACAAATTTATCAATCCGAGTTCGTATCGTGTATTAGTAAATCCAGCTCAAGCAGGAGGAAAGCAAGACACGCTCTTCCAACCTGCCCGAAGGCAACATGGAAGAATAAGCTGGTGAACCTAACATGAGAACATCGAACCAAAGATTTCCAAACCAGAGGAAAAATACTATAAGTCCAAGAGTTGTTCTTTTAAAGTAGCTTGTAGAAAGAATCGGCTGAAAGAACGCAACAATATAACCAACAGAAAGATTAAGCTATTGTTCGAACAACTCTAAGAAGGAACCTATTGACTGATGACGGAACGAGATGTACGATTTGAATTAATTATTTTCGCGAGGATATTATTTGTACAAAAGGGGTATAAGTAGTGAGAGGTTAAAAAAAAAACCATTCCTTTCTTCCATCTCTTGAGATTAACAATTGCACGCCCTTTCCATCGCGCTGTTACTTTATAAGTCGTTTGAGTGGGTCCTTTTAACTTTTCAGACAGCGATGGATACCAATGTGAGCGCTGTGGTAAAGTGTTTGCCTACAAATATTACCGGGACAAGCATTTGAAATATACTAAATGTGTTGATCAAGGAGACCGGAAATTCCCTTGTCATCTTTGCAGCAGGTAAGAAGAAAATTCTCCTCGAAAAAAAAAGGCAAATATTGAAAAGATGATGAATAAAAGTAACTAGATTAACTAATTGGAGATTAAGATTATTCATTTTTTTTACTTCTTTTTCATTTTACTATTAAAAAAAAATCATCAAATCTTAATAATAATTATCAATGTTTATTTATTTATATATTTCCTGTCCCATCTGTTGTAGGAAGTGAAATAAATCAATTTAAGTAACTGGATTAACTAATTGGAGATTAGAATTATTCATAATGTTTTTTACTTCTTTTTCATCTTACTATTAAAAAAATCATCAAATCATATAATAATTGTCAATGTGTATTTATTTATATATTTCCTGTCCCATCTGTAGTAGGAAGGGAAGTAAATCAGTTTAAGTAACTGGATTTACTAATTGGAAATTAGGATTATTCATTTTACTTCTTTTTCACCTAACTATTAAAAATCATCAAATCATATAATAATTATCAATATTTATTTATATATTTCCTGTCCCATCTGTAGTAGGAGGGGAAGTAAATCATTAAATTGATTTTCTTCTCTTCCTAGTAAATTTATGAGGGATTACTTAGTTGTTTTAATAATCAATACAGATAAAATATTTATTTGCATTTAGACAAAACTGGTTCCCGAGCAAAATGAATTGTTTAATTAATCAGTTCATTTACTGCTACGTTTGCAGTCCTATTTATTCAAGACTTTCATGTGAGGCACTCGGATGTATTTGTGTATTAAGTGATCATCTTGCTCCAACTTGGTCTTAAAATAGGCTTTGCTGTCACCGTCTTGTTCGTTCTGTTGCTAATCCTTTTCTTCCAAAAGATATTTCCATTTCACTGTTATTAAACACGTCAAATTTTTAACCTGAAAAGCTATTAAGCAAAAAGCAATTTATATAATACCAGGAGTAATCAATGAATCATACCTACAATTGAACCTGTGAAAAATATTTTTTTAAAATATAAAGGGAACAGATTAATTAAATGGTTCATTGGCCTCTATTTTAGTTGAATTTCAGTTGTTTCAAGGCATTTGTTTCATTGCCTCTCGTTGTTAATACTTTTTAACTATTGTCATCATTTTTGACGGCATGAGTACACTAGTATATTAATAATGATCACGGAGATATTTTTGTGTATGTACCTTTGCTTTTCTATCGATAACTTCCGTCACGCAATAAATGTATAAAATTAACGCGTGAATCCTACGGAGTAGACGTAAAAAGGCAATTAACATATCCATTATGTCAACGTTTCGCTACTTGAACAGTGCAGCAAAATTAATTTCCAAATACTAATTTCAGAAGTGCTCACATAAACGGTCCTGGCCCTAAGCAGAATAGCGAAAAGCCACACTTTTGTCCTAGGCAGAGCGCACAAGTACGCAGATTATATGCAGAAGTGTCGATCAATCATCCCGTTGTTTTTTACGGGTAATATTCGAGTTAATAATAAAGTAAATATCAAGAAATTCAGAAAAGTATTGACGCTATTTTCATCGATTGATTTTACTTATACGAAATAATTTCGGTCGATTATTTTTTTTTTTTAATCAATATACATTCGTTTTTGCTTGTTTGGTTATTTCCCTAGATCCTTCGAAAAACGCGATCGTCTGAGAATCCATGTTCTTCATGTTCACGAAAAGCATCGTCCTCACAAGTGTGCTGTTTGCGGCAAGAGTTTCAGCCAGTCTTCCAGCCTCAATAAACATATGCGGGTAAGTTCTTCAGTGCCTTCAGATGTCGTCTAAGTAAAGTCCAGCACTTTAAATTTTCTCATGCAACATCTGTGGAGGAGCCGCGTTCAAATTCACCTCGATGCTGTTTCGTTCACTTCAAGTGTCTTTGTGAAAAAGGTATCGATGCTTCTTCCTACGTCTATTTATTAAATAACAGGACAGACTGGGCTCTCTAGCCGAAAGTGGCAGCCAGCCTAGGAAAACGTTTCGAGTAGTCTATTCTTCAGGTGTATAATCCATAAGAAAGGAAATCTTATTTCTTCACAAAAAGGTGACATAGAATGTTTAACTAGATGCATAAGTCAAATTGCTATTGATTTCAGCAACTTATAGTCTGTTTGATGTTGGGTAATTTGTTTGTTCATAAAATTAGAATCATCTATATATCTGGATACCAATAATGGTCTCATAATGGTACGTAGGGTTACCATAATGGATTGATGAGTTGGTAATGTTATGTTACTATTTTGTGAATAATTATGGCGATTTTCTAGATGTAGTTTAGATGTGGCACAAAGCTGAAAGCGTGGTGCACGCAGTGAGGATCGAACTCACTATTCGGTCGTAATTAATCTAGCGAGACAAGTTTACTAACCATTACACCACAGCGAAGTGTCCGTTAATATCTGAGGAGAATGGACACTTTTGTAAAGAATTATGATGCTTCCTTAAAGAATGAATCGACCAAAATGGTAATATTAGTCGTATCCTTATAAGGAAATATTTGGCATTCATTGACCAAACAGCCAGTATTACAGTGTAACCCGGATATAAGAGACCCGGGTATAAGAGAAACCCGGATATAAGAGAGATTTTCTCTGGTCCCAAATTAGAGCCTGTGTTAATGTATATAAAATAGACCAAACCCGGATATAAGAGAAACCCGGATATAAGAGAAACCCGGATATAAGAGACTTCTTCTCCGGTCCCGACAACTCTCTTAACAGTACAGACTGGGCTCTCTAGCCGAAAGTGACAGCCAGCCTAGGAAAACGTTTCGAGTAGTCTATTCGTCAGCCTTCTTCAGGAATCTTATTTCAGCCAGTCTTCCAGCCTCAATAAACATATGCGGGTAAGTTCTTCAGTGCCTTCAGATGTCGTCTAAGTAAAGTCCAGCACTTTAAATTTTCTCATACATATCTGTGGAGGATCCGCGTTCAAATTCACCTCGAAGCGGTTTCGTTCACTTCGCGCGTATGTCTTTGTGAAAAAGGTATCGATGATTCTTCCTCCGTCTATTTATTAAATAACAGGACAGACTGGGTTACACTGTACTATCGTTTGAAATTTATAAAAAAAATATCTTTCTCTTAGAATATTTATTCGGGAAAATAGGTTTCTGAAGTCCAGTAGCTATTATAGGTCTTTCCAGTAGTGATGGGGGATAACTTATTGTTTGAAATAGCGTGGAACATCAACATCTTGATCGATTTTAGTTGCTGCTGCTATTGAACGCCCTCAAGTGATATCGTTTCTGATATCTGATACTGTTATTTGTGATTATGTAGTATCAGTTCACAAGGTTCGAAGAAGGCTGGCCTTCGCCAAGACCCACAGGCTTCTCTCATTCAAAGCCATTTTTAAATATTGATCTGAATTAGTGGTAGTATATAACTGACAGTTTAAAAATTTCTGAAAGCGTTTGGCGACATGCGTAACATTCGTATGAAAGTGTCGCTCTGACGGGGCGATTTAAGAACATGACTCGAGTTTTCTACCCAGTACAAAGCTCTAGAGACACTCAATGTGCAGTGTTACTGTTAAAATAGTTATGAGGAATGTAGTGTGTGATATGAAGAGACGGAAGATAGCTAACGATTACCCCTTGATTTGAAGACGTTAAGATTGTAGTGTTTTTGTGGCATTTCTGTGAACTGTTTGAATGGAGCTTTCTTCTTACATTTAAATCTAGACGCCTTTGTGTATTAAGTGATCATCTTGCTCCAGCTTGGTCTTAAAATATGCTTTGTTGTCGCCGTCTTGTTCGTTCTGTTGCTAATCCTTTTCTTCCGAAAGATATATCCATTTCACTGTTATTAAACACGTAAAATTTTTAACTTGAATAGCTATTAAGCAAAAAGCAATTTATATAATACCAGAAGTAATCAATGAATCATACCTACAATTGAACCTATAAAAAATATTTTTTTAAAAATGTAAAGGAAACAGATTAATTAAATGGTTCATTGGCCTCTATTTTAGTTGAATTTCAGTTGTTTCAAGGCATTTGTTTCATTGCCTCTCGTTGTTAATACTTTTTAACTATTGTCATCATTTTTAACGGCATGAGTACACTAGTATATTAATAATGATCAAGGAGATATTTTTGTGTATGTACCTTTGCTTTTCTATCGATAACTTCCGTCACGCAATAAATGTATAAAATTAACGCGTGAATCCTACGGAGTGGACGTAAAAAGGCAATTAACATATCCATTATATCAACGTTCCGCTACTTGAACAGTGCAGAAAAATTAAGTTTTAAAACATGACTCGAGTTTTCTATCCAATACAACGCATGAGGGCCACTCAAGGTGCAGTGTTACTGTTAAAATGGTTATGAGGAATGTGGTGTGTGATATGAGGAGACAGAAGATAGCTAACGATTACCCCTTGATTTGAAGACGTTAAGATTTTAGGGTTTTTGTGGCATTTCTGTGAACTGTCTGAATGGAGCTTTCTTCTTGCATTTAAATCTCGGAGGAAATGCGGGTGATTCGATTCACTGGAAGTGGCATGGGGTTTCTTAGCTGTAAACCTCTGAACTGATGGAATTCAGCTGTAGATTTAACCTGGAAATAGCTATAGGCTTGCGCCGTTACGTCTGTGGGCATCAAAGGAATTCAACTATTCCAACGCAACTTGGTCTGAATGCCCCGTGTTACCGTTTCTCGTTATTCTTCGAGAAAAACGGGGGAATATATTTGCTAACCTCCCCACGCGGTCAGATGTGGCACAAATTTAATATGCAGTGAACCGAGTACGTAGACTAGGGCAATAATTCACCGTATACACGGGGTCGGGTAGCTGTCTACAACCCCCAGACGAAACTCTGCTCTTTGACATAGCCTCGTCTGGGTTCCTCTCTGCCCGGAAGAAGTGAGTTTGACAAGTACACTTGGAAGTGAATCCTAAATTTTGGTGGGAAGAATTATGACAAAATAGAAAAAAGTTTTCGTGTGACACGTTTCGTCCTTTAGGACTTCATCAGTCGAAACGCGTCACACGAGAACTTTTTCCACTTTCTGATCTTTCTATCTCCTAAAATTGTTCCTGATATATAAAAAAATATATATATCGTTATCTCATATAAAGTTTTTTTTAAAAATAAATAAAAAATGTTGAAAATACAATTAGCGTATTTTGGATAATATGACCATTATATAGAAGTTGATGTGCCATAAAACTATATGGACAAATAAAAGTTTCATAAATTATTTATTTACTAAACTTATCTATGTCCAACATAAAACACCCAGTAAGGATCAAGCTACATCGCAGAAGAGATCTTAGATACGATATAGCTATTACATTAAATTTGGTCTCAAATTGGTAATTCCCTGTCATTAACGCAGTCTTCATTAATTGACTTGATGAACGAAATATTTTTATTCTAGGGTGGATTATATCGTCGTCGCTTGTAGCGCCATACAAAACAGTAAATCGTAAACAGTTTAAATGAAGTAATTATCCGACTGATTGTATTAACCGATAATCGCACTGGATTTTCTTGTTTAAAGGTTCACAGCGGAGAGCGTCCATATAAATGTGTCTACTGTAGCAAAGCTTTCACTGCCTCGAGCATCCTGCGCACACATATACGTCAACATTCAGGCGAAAGACCTTTTAAGGTAAGCAACAACATGTATTTTGATCTATCTATCTATCTATCTATCTATCTATCTATCTATCTCGTTACATTCGAGTATTTTCGACTATTACGGTCATTACCAAGAATTGTGAATGGTCAGTAGGACAAGCAATATGTATTTGTCTAAATTCCGATGTTTTAATTTGCTAGAATTAGAATTTAAGCCAGTTAAAGGCTATGTCATCTACAACGGTCAAACGAAAGTCGAACGTATACGAATATAACGACTGTCACAGTTTATCAACAATTTTAATATATATATATATATATATAATTATTTATTTAAAAATATGATTCCAACGCTACATAAGAGTTCTCATGTTTCAAAACAAGAGCCGAAGAATTCAATATAATTATTTGAATTAAATTGAATATAAATATATAAAAGTAAACATTCAATTCAACACTCAGAGACGACAGGCTGTTTCATGCTAAACGCAATCATCAGGCCGCGTGTGTTGGGTTTTTTTCTCGCCTATTTATATATACGGGTCTGTGGTGCATTGTGGGTAGTCCATTCCGGCGATTATTTTGGCGGGAGTAGTTTGTTTATTTATTTATTTGGGTTAATTTATTTTACTTGTTTTTATTTATTTCTATATACTTATTTATTCTTTTCGGTTTTCGATTTTTTTATTAACGTAGTAAAAATATTTTTGAGATTTGTTTGGGTCATTTATATATATATATATATATATGTGTGTGTGTGTGTGTGTGTGAATGTCAGTGTATTACACTTTAAACTTTACTCCTAGAGACAGCAGCCCAACATAGCATACCATTTTGAAATCAGAGAGACTCTGTAAGTAAATTAAAAACATTGCGAGTCGGATCCGGACCTGCAATCCTGAAATTCTGGATTCCCAAGTTTTCATTACGGCGATAGTTTTCGACGATTTTTTACGTGATTTTTAGCGACGAATTTTTTGTACGATAACAATTTTTATAACTTGGAAATAAATTTGGGAATAATCAAAATTAATTGTGAAATCCAGCGTCACTCATGAAATAAAAATAATTGTTTGTAAGGAAAGTAAGGACCTACGCACATCAAATTTTCTTTAAATTAATTAGCGGCAGTTGAATTATCATTGAACTTTTAAAAGATAAACTTAAATAATAATGCAATACATAAATGCAGCGATCGATTTTGAGTTCTTCTGTGGTGTATTGTTGCTTATCGCATATCGCGAGAGTGTGCCTCGTGAAAAGAAATCTCTGTCAACAGTGGGCCAGATTGCAATCAAAAGAGTCAAGGCTGCAGTGAGGAAAAGAAAGTCTCGTACAAATGAAAACCCAAATCAAACGTCGGCCAGTAGAGCTTCCAATGCTGAGAATATGCAAAGACTTAGGGACTCTCAAACTCCTGAACAAGCCGAAGGCCCAATCAAAAGCACTTCGCAGGAGCTAGCTTACATGGTGGTCGATAGGTTATTGTGTATATTTATCCAACATTTTATAACGTTTGAATAAATACATATATCGGATATAACAGAAAAATTGTCCAAATCGTGTAACAGCAAAATTGTCAAATTGTTACATGAAGCTTTGAATCGTGGTATTAAGAATAAGATTAAAGATATCTTACTGGAAATTTCCAAGGTTTTCATAAAACTATTGAACTCTACTTTGAACAATAAGAATCTATTTAGTTGTAAATTGAAATGATGATCTCTCTTGCTGTTATGACCTCCTGATCCAGATTTCCATCTTTTTTTTAATTTATTTACTGTTCTCTTGATGGTTCTGGAATGGACATTGAAGATAGAAGCCAGAGTATGAATGTTGGTACCATTACTGAGGACTTGAATGATCTTTTTCCTCTAACTATTGCTCACTTGGAAAGATATAGTGAGGCCGACACAAAACGATTTTAACCTGTTCTCTTTCTAGATGAATTACTCAAAGTGTTTTTCAGTGATTCTTACGACAAATGGTGTCAAGATGGCTAAACGTCTCATTTAAAAACCTGTAAAAAAGAAACTCGATTAGTTTAGGATTTTTTTTTTTTTAGATATTAAACATTTTCTTGGGTGGACAATTATCCCATGTTGTTTTAACAATTTTGACAATTTTACTGTTACACCCGGTATATATATATATATATATATATATATATATATATATATATATGTGTGTGTGTGTGTGTGTGTGTAGTTGTGTGTGTGTATGTGTGTGTGTGTGAGAGACAGAGAGTAAGAGAGAGTGTGTGTGTGTCTGTGTGTGCGTGTTTGTTCGTTCAGTCCACAAAATTAGATCAAATAGATGTTTGATTTAAAATTTTATTTCAATTTTATATTTATTTATATTTACACATATTTTTATAGTTATATTTAATTTATTTAAATTTAAATTTATATTTCTTTTTTTTATATTTTAAAAATTTTATTTGAATTTTACATTCTATTCATTTACTTTTAAATTGTTTTTTAAAATATTCCTTTTAATGTACAAAAGAAAATATGTCCGTGTGTAATGAATGTAAACATCGATCGAAGCGTTTAAGATCCTGCACTTTCGGCCATACGTCTGTCAGTCATCAAAATCAGAAGAAATGTGCAGATTTTTAATTCGAAAATACTTTTAATCTCGGTTTTATAGTACTTACCGCTTTGTCAAATATGGCGATGTTATGCAAGGGGCAACATATAAATGACTAAATGATATCAATGATTGAAATACATATGTTGTTGAATTTAAAATACCGGCTTCAAAACGGATCTTCTTATTTGATACACGGTTTCTTGATTGACAATAAATTCTTTGAATTCCTTTGTATACTACATTGTATACAAGTATTTGGTGTAGTCATTTTCTAAGCGCAGCTTAGATGTAGCACAAGGCCGAAAGTATGGGGCACCCAGTGAGGATCGAACTCACTACTCAGTCATAAATTGTCTAGCAAGACAAGCTCCCTAACCATTACACCACGTTGAGGTACCCAACAAGTATTTGGTGTATACCCAATTCTTAGACGTATGTGTTCATTAATAACACTTAGATCAGAAAAATTACATGCTTGTAATTGTATAGCCAACTTACGAATTTGATGTCTGTGAATATATAGGGAATATAAAACCAAAAATGCAAGAAAATTAGTAAGTGGCGTTAGTCTTGTTTCTTGGAACTCTTTGGAAACAATAATTATTAATAATGTTCAAGATTTCTATCCAGATACTCAATCGATCAAGGTCATTATTTAGAATAGGAATCTTATCGGTGCATGGGATTAGTAATCAGAATTCTTCAATCTCCCTCAGTATTTCCCTTCTGGGATGGATCAGTGATTAATCCTGATATCCACATTTTTCTGACTGACTCTCTTGTACATATGAATGTGTAGCCTCATTATCCAAGCATTAAATTATTTTATTTAGTGTTTTATGAAATTATGTCACCTTTCAACTGAATTGTGTATTCAAAAATGAAATAAATAACTATCTGTCTTTTGATTTAATGAGTTATTCGGGGGATCTTTGAACCTTTGATAAAAGAAGTGATACCTGGGCCAAATAGACTGAAACTGGCAATTCTGAAGAATGCGTTGTATATAGAACTTCTCGACCGAAATCCATTATCAATTGCCTTTGTACCACGAAGCCAGGCAGGGTTATGTAACAAAATTATACAAAGTCGACGAAATAGTGTTCGGTTTGAAATTTCAATCACCTGAAGAAAGCCGGAGTACACATCGGCCGAAACGACAAAGATGATGACAATAGTCCAAACAATATAAATACTACACACACACACACACACACACACACACACACACACATGCATATATATATATATATATATATATATATACTAATTTATCCAGAAACATGTCTTTTTCTATTCCAATCTCTTATTGAAACGAGCCAATTGCTCTCGTCATTACACAGTAACAGCCTGTCCAGATTCATGCAATTCGCGACAAAGAATTCCCTTCCACTCTTACCAGAAACTGAAAAGAACATTTGGCACTACCTAAATAGATTACTTCTGCTATATAAAGATTTTAGGTAAAATACAAAGAAAAATCTGCAATGTTATCGGTGTAGACCTGGCACCATAACAACAGTTATTTCCCACCGCAATAACATAGCTTCCTTGTGCCATTTCTATAAATATTTTCATGGTAATTATTCTGATGAAGCTTTCCTCCTTGGTACTTAGACTATGAATTTAAGCGCACTACTAGATTGGCAGCTAGGTCTCATCATTTCACAGTTGAAATGAGCAGATTGAACCGTAAGTTCTATGCTAAAATTTTCTTATATCGCACTTCTCGCTTGTGGAAGTCTCTTCTAGCTTCTTGCTTTCCAGCCAATCGTTATCTGCCTTCTTCTTAATTCCTGCTCTTTTCCTCAATAATATTTTTTTTCAGATTCTTTCAAATTCTCTAATCCGTTGCCTTTTAGTGGCTTTATTGCCTTGTTTGGGGTGAAATGATTAAAAAAAGAGTATTTCTGAGTCGCTAACATCTGTGTAATTATTACACGGCGCACTCTATTTGCTATTTAATTTTCTAAGTTTAACTCATTTTAATAGAAATCAATTAACAGCGGTATTTTATGGAGCAATTTCAAACCAGAAATTTTGTCAGGATCATATTTGAAAGAGACGATGACTGCGGGAGAAGCTATTATACATTCAGTTCTTACCGACAGACAATCAAATATACTGACTGGATTCACCTACTTAGCAGTGCGTAGATAATGCTCAAAGTTAATTGACAGTAAATGTTTGAAACGGTCGCCGTCTATGCTACAGGGTCTCTTTAAATTCGACAACAGCATCCGTATGAACAGTCCAGTAAAAATTTCACACACAATTTATGTCTAACTACTTCCTCTCATCAGAATGTCCCTCCGCCTCCTCAATAAGTCCGGCGGGAGTTGGACAACAGCTTGTAAATCAAGTTGTAAACACTTCTTTTCATTACGCAAAACAAGATGGCGTGCATGCGCGGGCGTCGTCAGTGTCACGTGATTGCGCCGTTTGCAGCCAATCGCCGGATAGTTTTGACGGCAATTATTATAGGTGTTACTGCCTCGCTTGTACGACTGAGGGTGGCGCTGCCGATGATTGCCAGGAGTATTACAAGAGCGGGGAGGGGCGTGCGCAAGAATCCGATCACAGTAACTTTCCACATTTCATTCGTTACTGCCCAACACCTTGTCACCATTCTTGTATGGCAAAAACACTCCACCAGGAATCTAAATTCCTTGTTATTTTTATGGATTTGTAGTCGTTTTTTTTTCTCTCTCCCGCTGCGTGAATTGCGCCCAAACGTTCTTTTTGACATGAGGAAAAGATTTTTTTTTCTTTCTTTGAGACGCCATTTTGGTATCGGCGTTTCTTTGCCACTGCTCTCGACAGTTGGTGCACAGAAGGTTATAAATCACAATTTATACTGCCAATAATAAAAATAGACAAAAGAACAACGAAAGAAAAAAATGGCGGAAAAATAAAAAACGAAGAAAAATGAGGAAAGGAGGCAGATTTGAAGGAAGTGTTTTGTTCTTGTCGATTTCAACCCAGGGCACACGCAAACACAAATCGTTTTTTTTATCGCATTCAAACCTATACACTTTTTATATATATATATATATATATATATATATATATATATATATATATATATATATATATATCTATATATATTTATATATATATGTGTGTGTGTATATATATATATATATATATATATATATACTGTAAATAAGTATAATACTTCATCTCATATATATATATATATATATATATATATTTCTGAAATGAAGTATTATAATTATTGTTCGGACTATTGTCCTCATCTTTGTTGTCATATTCACGATATTTCGGCCGTTGTACGCTCCGGCCTTCTTCTGTTGATTGGAATTTCGAACCGGACCCTTTATTTCGTCCACCGGGATAGGTTTTTTCTAGTTCCACGTGCCATGCCTCTTCCGGATGTTTCTGTTTCCCTTATTTCCCTTTTAGCTCAACTCTCCAAGTTATTTGTTCACCTCTGCCGTGGGCAGGTATTGAAGTCACAACCCTTTGGAATTTCCAACGCTTTTATCTGCTGGGCTATGAGTCCCTGCGAACAATCTACCCCGGTCGACGAAATAAAGTGTCCGGTTCGAAATTTCAATCACCTGAAGAAAGCCGGAGGACACAACGGCCGAAACGACAAAGATGATGACAATAGTCCAAACAATGCAAATATTACACTCACACACACACACACACACACACACACATATATATATATATATATATATATATATATATATATATATATATATATATATATTTTTATGTTTAACATTCTTTTTATAGTTACAAATATTTAAGTAAATGCTCTGTTTATAATAAACAGTATTAAACAACATTTACCGGCCTTAAATATTTGTATCTATAAAAAGAATGTTAAACATAAAAAATGTCTTAAAATAATTGTGGGACTTTGTCCATTTCATTATACATATATATATATATATATATATATATATATATATTAATTTAAAAATATGGTTCCATCGCTACACAGGAATTACCATGTTTGAAAAACAGAAACTAAAAACTTCAAAAACTTGAAAATGAAACACAACTAGGGTCTTTAATTTAATTCTATATTTGAATCTTTTAGTTTCTGTTTATGAAACATGGTAATTCCTGTATAGTGATAGAACCATATTTTTAAATTAGTAAATTTATAATATTTATGCTCTGTAGATTTGAATTGAGCACTGTTTTGCATTTCTCTGATCATAGGTTCATTAGAACACACTTAATTGCACAAACATTGTACGGAATAGTTTGGTTTTTTAGTTTTATGAACTCAATTGTTAGCCGTCGTCTATATTCTATTAGGTGCTAATACCCTTGAAAAATGTATAATCCATTCTCCCCCCGGCTACGGGTAAATAGCAGGACAAACTGTGTCCTATAGCCTTAGGTAGTGAACACTCTAGGAGAAGGACAACTCTCAATTCGAAATCTACGGAGGGTCGTTTGAGGACCTTGTGACATACTGTGCACCAGGTCTCTGTATTCAGTTCTTCCCAAAAGTATGGTTGGTTCTATACTTGTCTTCACCATTCTAATCAAATGGTATGTGCGGGTAGTCTGGCTGTTGGTTCTTGAGCTGCTTGACTCTCATATATCGAAAATGACGGGAGGGTTCAGATCTTGAAATCCACTTATGAAGAGATAAAAGTATTTTTATTTACTTTCACACACTGTATTTTTTCTTAAAAGGCGATAATTTATGACATAAAATCATTTGAATTTATATTTTCTTAAAGACGTTTTTGTGACTTATCATTTTATCTTACTTATTATAAAACGCAGATTGTGTGTGTGTGTGTGTGTCTGTACGTTTATATATTGGATCGGATTTCCTACATTTTTCAACCGATTTCAACAAAACTTCACAGGACTACATAAATTTACCTTGCGGTGGTTCTAACAGCACCAAAAATTAGAAAAACACAATTGTTTTTGCACGAAATCAATTTGAAAACACGATTAAGAAGCATCACGAGAATGAAAGGGGGACAACTCTTATCGAGTTATACTTATAAAACCCAGGTTGGTTGGTTGTGTGTGTGTGTGTATGTTCGTTTATATATGGGATCGGATTTCCTACATTTTTCAACCGATTTCAACAAAACTTCACTTTTTTTTGGCAGGCAATGTTTCTTATTGTCTTGCACACTATTTTCTTTATTTTTACATTCAGAATGCTTTAAAAAAAAAACTAATTAAGACATGCGTCCGTCAACCTTAAACAATAATCTTTGTCAATTTTATTTTTCAATCTTTATGATGGTCAATACTTGATCTATCTCTTACTGTTACATTCCCGGGCAACGCCGGGCTCTACTGCTAGTATATGATAGATAGATAGATAGATAGATAGATAGATAGATAGATAGATAGATAGATATGAACAGAAAATTACATCTAGGGATATACTAAACTGTTTCATTTTTTTTTTTTTTATCATTTCATCCCGACCAAGGCGATAATGCCACTAAGCCGCAAGCGGCTATTGGGAGGGAAAAAGAATGAGAGGGCTTTAGTGACGAGAAGGGACAACAAAAGAACAGGCTTCAAGAAGATAAACAGTTGCGACTGACGTTCCATTTAAATTTTTTAAGATTGTAGGTGGCGGAGTAGCAAGAAAGCCGAAGCGTGTTCCACGGACGAGCAGGACGAGAAAAGAAACTTACGGTCACATAAATCCGAGGAAGTGCTGAAAAGTTCTCGGCCCAACGAAAGAAAGGATTCATGTTTTTTATTTGGTCAGATTTTTCAGCACCCACTCGTAGATGTGTATTCGTGCGCGTGTGTGTGCGTGAGTGTCTGTGTGCAATACGCGTTTTGCTTACCGTTTAAACATGCGATATTTTTTTTGTTCAATATCCAGTTATGTTGACAACTCGAATCTATTCGGTTGGTGAATCTATTTGAAAATTTGGGCTCTGTTGGAGATATCTGACTTTCGCTGTAATGTGATACACTGAAGGCCCGAATCCAACTTTCCTTGAGATATATCACGGCTCGTTATTCAGACCAGCTGTATGACATAAAATCATTTGAATTTATATTTTATTTATATCATAATATGCTATTTTCTGCCTGTGGCAGATAGCGAAGTCACGTGGTATATTTACTTCTAGATATTTCTGTCTAGTGAATTTATATTGGGTCAGCTATTGGATTTTGACCTGTGATACATGCCAAGAAAGTGAAATGAGGGAGTTGAGGAGCAAGTCCTTTTAATTAAGACTCATACGTGGAAGAGAAAATTAATTTTAAAATTAATATCATGAAACGTAAAAATTTTAATTTAATATCATGAATGAAAAATTTAAAATTAATAACATGAATCGCAAAACGCAACTGCCATGCTTTCTTCAGTTCCTACATTTTTCTCTGCATGTGTACGAGCGCGTCAGTGAGTGCGCGTCTATGTGTGGGCGTGTATGTGTATGTGTGCGTGGGTGGGATATTCTAAAAGCTGCAACCCTGCCATCCTTGATATTTTGTTTAACAAAAATGGTTAACAAATGTGTTGCATTTGGCTGTTCTAGTGGATATGTTACTAATGGTGAAAAAGTATCAACATTTTCTTTTTCTCTTGGAAAATCGTTTCTACGAAAAATTCTGTTCTCTGTAGGAAACATTTTGAAGAGAAATTTATTTTGAAGAGAAAACGAAACACACTGAATCGGGATTTACATCCAATACTTACAATACATCCAGAAAAATAAGAAAACCGTTTTTCTTTTCTTTTTTTCCCCAAAACAACGACTGGACCAAACTGATGAATTACATGATTTTATTTCAGCTGATACGATAAAGGATTTTAATCAAGTGAAATAAATAAATAAAATAAATAAATTTGAATCTTAACAAAAAGAAAATTATATTCTAATTTTTCGAATAGTCTTTGATCCTGAAACACATTTTCCATCTGTAAAAGAATGTATTCGCATTGACTAAAACCTTCACGCTCAGCTCCAATGTGATGGGACCCCAATACTGTTACCACAGTGATTTATACGTGGACATAATGCATGTTAGAAAATTTTCCAAACTACATACAAAACGTGGTGAAAGAACAACTATACTCCATTCTAAAACAATCTACAAAAAAGAGAACATTACCAACCAAGAGATCGTTCTTCATTTTCTGCAGAATTAATATGTTATGCCTTTCTACTGCACTATACGTCTCAACAAGCCTACAGTTTACTTCTGGAGAAATTTCCATTACTATCTTTTTCTTTATTAGAAAAATAGCAAAAATTTATCAAACATTTTCTATGTGAAATGTTTTCCCTCGTCATAGTAAGCAATGATAATGATGATGCTACTGTGACAATATTTAACATGGCGTACGGACGAAAAAGGTTAAAAAAAAAAAAACGATTTTATTTTATTTTATTTTATTTTTTTATCAGAAAGAGACTCATTTTCCCAGAGCATTGAGAACAGATGTACGAATTCTGTTGAAAAAAATACAAAATACAATTGTTACAGTCCGGCGAGACACAGCTGGCAGGTTCAGAGGCCAGGGGTTAAAGTCGAAAGGTGTCAGTGTCTACGTGCTGAGAAAAGTATCAACCAAAATTTCCCTGAGAAAAATTATAATTGTGAAAAACAGAATGAGCAATTGTTGAAGGCAGGGGGAGACGTCAGGAAGACTGACGTCATATAATGGCTCCTCCCGAAGGAGGGGGGATCTTCCAA